GCATGGAAGCACCGTTTACTCTGCCACTTCGTATTTAATTTTTCTATCTCTGTGAACCTCTTTGGAGTGCTCTATAGGAACAAGCTGCAGTTGGAGGGGCTTTTGGATGCCCAATAATTCTTAAAAACAAATCTGCTCAGTGATGCTAAACCAAGCCAGCAGCAGATGAGTATTTTCCACTGTGTTATGTCTTAGGGCACTGGAATACAGTATTAGAAAACAGACAAGCTATTATAATGGGGGGGAAAGGTATTTTTAAAAGGATATCGAGCAAAAGCTTGGCAGAGCAGGGTTAAGAGAGCCTGCTTTCTGCAAACTTTGTCCTCTGTTTGCACAAGGGCAGCAGGGAGGGAGTTCTGCTTTCAGCTTATAGGTTTCTGCTTATCCAACAATGGAAGTGACCCCATGTGATCCCAGGCTGGGATATGGAGTGGTAAGGATGTTTTTCCTTTTGCAACCACAGCTCCAAAATCCTCTCTGTCAGTACCAGAGTGCAGCTAATGAGTAGGGCTGAGTTAATACCGCGCTGTACGATTACAGTCTATAAAAAGGGATTTATATGGCATGTTAGTGCCATTTATTTTACCGCATTAGCTGCTACCATGCACACAAATAAGCAAGGTTGGGTTTTGTTCTGACCTTTCTGCAAGATGAAAGCCAAATACCTGCTGGGAGCAGATTTTCCAATGGGATTGGGAATGCTGGGAACTGCTGCAGTGCCCACTGCCACAACCCCAGAGGCACGTGCATAGGGAAACATAGACTTGGGACAGCAGCAGGGCCTGCCTGCAATACTGGCCCTTATCCAGCAACAAGAGGAGATGCTTCTGACTTGGAATTTTTTTTTTTCCTGATAATTGCGGAAGTTTGCTCCCAGCTTAAATTTCCTTCTTTGCAATGGATGTTGTGGTCTAAAATGGATTTCTTAGGTTTAAGAATCAAAACTCTACTCCTATGTCTTCACGTGTGAGAACTGCAGAACCTGTGTCAGATTTCTAATTGTCTTTTTCCTCCTCTAAAATGTTGGAGAAAACATGCCATTTTTATTATTTACAGATGAAGGGGAGGGAAATGCTATCTAGTGCTCTTTTCCAGAAAGGCTCATTTTCCTGTGGTAAGGAAGCAAGAGGAGTCAGACTTCTGTATTTTGAGGCTTCTTTTAAACTGAACTGATTGAGACAAATGGAAGCATTGAGTTCTTGTGAAGTCAGCTTGTCTAATTAAAACAGCACACGTTTTATCACAGTTCTTTTTTCAGGGCATGAAGCTTTCTCTTTTCTTGTTCCTGTTTCCTCCTGAGTTGTATCCTGAGTTTCCTCCTTAATGTTCCACTCTAGAATTCTCCTTTCCTAATCCATCTTCATGCTGATACATCTGCAAGGAGCAACCCAAGCACCCAGAGACAGCCCAGCTTTCAGCCCTCTGGTGAGGACCACCCAACTGTGTTGGGGCCATTTCAGATGTCCCCATCAAGTTGAACACTGTCTGCATCATCCCCTGCTCATCCAGAGCTGACTCAGGGCGATACTCATTGAGTGCTAGCAGCACCCTGTGTTTAATGGTAATAAGTCTTGCTGAAATAAGTTTGGGGGCTCATTTCTTTTCCATTTTCTTCTAAAACAGCTGAACACGGCAGTGTGCATCTCATTGTGTTTGGGGATCCCAGAAGCCTTGATTACATCCATTTTGCTCTTTCATCTGGGAAAGAAATTGCTATTTCTTACTTTGACACTCAGGTTGAATTTTGTTTTATGAAAAGATGTGAACAATTTCTTCCTTCTCTGAGATGTCAGACCCAGAAAAGTGTTATTAGCTGCTGTGTAGTATTGCTTTTCTTTAACGGATATTTCTGCCTTTCAGCTGGGGCAAGGGAGGAAAACGTAATGAAAGAGGAGGGTTCCTAGTAATCTATCAACTTTGCATTAGTGAGAACAAAGTATTTTCATGAGATGGTTAACCCCCCTGATGCTGTTTCCCCCACTGGAAATAACGCCTGGCCCATTTGTATGGGATCTCTTATCAAAGCCATGTAGAGTTTAATGTGCAATACTGAAAATTGATGATAAGGCCACATCTAGCTACAGACATGAGTTTGTCTGATGTGGGTGAAACTGGGAAGCAGAGAGAGCCCTGGTCTGGGAAGGGCTGAGAGGGGTTTGAAATGGAACAGAGGATGATGAGAAAAAGGGAGTGTGGGGGCTCTGCTGACTTCTAAAATTGAACGTGGCTTCCACTGATCATGTCTGGTAGTAGTTTTCTTGGGCAGGGGAACCAAAAATGGCTTTCCTGAAAAGCCTCAGTTTATAATTACAACAGGGTGGGAAAGAGAGCATTAAACCCAACGTAAGGTCCTTGCAAGTTCAGCCAGCTGCTTATCAATTAATTTGCAGATGCATGATCAGCAGATCTCCAGCACTACATTTCCTGGAAAGTAGTGATTTCTGTTCTGGGCAAGATAGACCTAGCCCCTCATAACCTTCTTCTCTGAATTATTATTATATTCATCCAGCATGTTTGACATGTCTTAAAATGAGTTTTTCAGTTGGAAAGGTGAGTCAGTTTATGTTGGGAGAATAAAACAGATTCTGACACTTTATGGAGTTAAAGCAGAGGCAGTATATTGGAAAAAATACAACTCTTGTATAACATGAAGTGTACTTCTGATTGGTTGCAGGTGTGAAATACATGCAATGCCTCTACAGTTGATCATCTAGCACGCAGTTAGCACGAGGTCTATCTTGGATCTTGGATCATGCACCCAAGCTTCTTCTCTGATTCGTTGGCAACAGGCAGCTTTCTTAGCTAACCTCAGCTAAGCTTTGTAACTTCTTTCTTTTTTCCTAGTACAGCTCTTTTTCTGCTTATGCATCTCCTTTCTCTTGCTGACTTTGTCAAAGACTGTGACTGCCCGGAGTCAGCAGCATTTGTACCAAAGCACATAGGCCTTAGTCTAGACTCACGTAGTCATGTCCTCTGCTAACCAAGTATGTCTCTATAATTTTGTGTTTACTGCTGTGGGAGGTCAAATCAAAAAGGCAGCCCTTGTATGGCAGCACAATGGTTCATGGCAAGAGCAAGTGTTATGCTGCACAGGATCGGTGCAACAACTTGAATTACAAGTGGCTCTTGTAGTGTTTTGGTTTTTTTTTAAGAGATTAACTGATGTTCCTGTGAATATTGCAACTGATTCTCTGTATGTAGTGGGGGTGGTCAAGCAATTGAAACGGTTGGTGCTTAAGGAATGTAAGCAGAAAGAAGCATATGCATTGTTCTGCACTTTGTGGTTTGTACTTGAACCAAAAAATGCATGACTATTTCATTTGCCATATTCGTAGCCATTCTGGACTATCAGGGATTCTGGTGAAGGGTAATGACTGCGCTGACGCTTGTCAATAGCTTGTCATACCTATTTAGTCAGGGCTCCGCTCAGATGAATTCGCGTAACACAATTTCTTTCACCAAAGTTCTTGCAAAACAGCTTGGTCTACCCCTGGTGGAGGCTAAAGGTATTGTCCAGTCCTGCCCACATTGCCAGGGCATTGTGCCTACCCGTGAGGGGGACAGTTAACCCACGGGGTTTACATTCCTTACAGATATGGCAAATGGATGTTAGTCATGCCGGAGTCTGGAAAGCTGAAGTATGTATGTACGTGTTTGTATTGACATCTTTTTCCATGCTACATGGGCTACAGCACAAACTGGTGAAACAGGCCGCCATGTTCAACGTCATCTTCAATCTGTTTTCATGGTACTTGGCATTCCTGGATTAATCAAAACTGATAATGGGCCCAGGTATGTCAGTAAGGCAGCACAAACTGTTCTGGCCCTTTTGGGTGTTGCCCATACAACAGGGATCCCCCACTCACCTACAGGCCAGTCGCTAGTAGAGCAAGCGCACAGTGTTAAAAGAGCAGCTACTTAAACAGAAAAAGGGGGAGGCAGTGCAACATCATTAGCCTTAAGTGGTTTATTGTTAAATGTAGATTCAGTACGGCATGCAACATTGCAGAACTGTGCTGCGATAGATTTTTTTGCTTCTAGCACATGGCTGTGAAGATATTGACAGTATGTGTTGTATGAATCTTTCAGATCATTCACAATCTATCCATAAAGCCACGCAAGACCTACAATAGCTATCCCAAAAGCTAGTTGTGGAGAATTCCTCCTTAGGGCAATGACTGGCAAGTTTAGGCATTACAGGATGGCTGAAAGATTTAGTGATAAACTGAATGGTAATCGTGATAGTAATTTTAATCATGCTCACAATTATCCCATGCATTCTTAGTTGTGTTCAGAAGGCACTGCACAAAGCTGTTTCTGCAGTTTTTTTGGTTCATACAGAGAAAGGGGGAATTACAGAGAAATACTTGGTTAGCAGAGGACATGACTACGTCCTTACCCAAATCATGGTATCGTTAAGGTTGAAGAGACCACCAAGATTCCCAAGTCCAGTTGTCAGCCCACCCTATCATGCCCATTTAGCTATGTCCAAGCAGAGGTATGTGGCAGTGCCTATGATGGCAGTCAGGGTCCAGCCTCATTCTGAGCAGGAAGGACATGGATGGCTTTCAGTTTTTCTTTCCATCCCCTATAAGGGGATTTCTTCATTTTTGATGGCCAGGGCTGAGTTCTACAGCCTGCTTTAAACCTGTGTGTGCCCATCATAAACAGTGCTGGGACAGCAGCTCACTATAATGCTGTGTGCTCAAACAAATTTACTGTGACTTGAGGCTGGTCAGTATGTCTCTCTTCTGCACCATTTATAGAGACTTTGGGATTCCTATGGATGAAAGGCACAATTTAAGAGCAGGCATCAATTTACCCATATATAGGAATGACAGCTGGCCTTGGTTAATGCATTGGGCATGCTGTAAAGCCTGTGTGTTTTCCCAGGCTCTCACAGTGGGAGTGGATTCAGAAGGTTGCTCTGTGCAGTTGAGTATGGGGACAAACAGGCTGAGTTACAGGAGATGTGGATTTTTATGGTGTCTGGATGTCTCTTTTTTTTTTTTTTTTTTTTTTTTTTTAATGTGAAAAAGCAAAGGAACAGACTTTTATTTCAGGCAGCATTGAATGTCATTTCTTAATGCAATGCTCTGCATGCTCCAGCAAGCTCCACTGATAGTATCAGTTAGTTGTGGCTTGTCAGTATGCGCCAGCTGAGTGGTGAGGCTGCAGAAATAGTTACTTTTAGTGGGGAAACAAGTATCAACGTTGGTCCAAGATCACCAGGAAGTCAGCAGAGGGGTTGGGTAAAGCAGCACATCTGCCAAGTGCTATTCTTCAGGGTTTCTGATTAGGATTGTTGAGAAGCTCCCAACTGAAGTCATCACCATACATATCTACAAGCAAACTAAATTCTGTCACTTGTGTTTTGCAGTGTAAGTTTACAGCTAACCCCCAGTAGCCCAAGTTTGGTCTTTCTCAGAGTCATTTTATGTTGTAAATGCATCTTTTATGTGGAAAAAAAAAAAAAGAAAAAAAAAAAAGAAAAAGGATCTCTGACATATATCCCCATAGTTCTGCACACTTCTGAATCACTTCTGAGTATAAGGCTTCCTCTTCAGTTATCATATGAAATCACACCAGACCTACGGATATAGGTCCCATCCAACCTGGGATGGATGGGGCTGTGAACAACCCGGTCTCAAGGGAGGTATCCTGCTTATATCAGGGGGTTGGAATTAGGTGATCTTAAACCATTCTATGATTCTATATCACAAGTGAATAGAAAGAAAAGAAAACAAGCAATGCCAGCCCAGCCTACCTTCTAAGTAATATAATAAATATTTCCCTTGGCTGCTTTGAAAAGAGCATAGTGCCTTTACCAGAGTTAAATTTGATCAGTCTTCCTGCTTTCCATTCAGGGCTGGTTTGCGTCTCTGTGCCACAGGTAACTCACAGTAACACAGCTTCAATTTATGCTGGAATTGAGATCAGAATTGAGATGATTGGACCTACTCTCTAAAATCACATCAGGAACTGCTGACTGCAGTGTGGAATATATGTTATCTTCCTAAACCCAATGCAATATTTACAATGAGATAAAACTAAAATGTAAAAATAATCTAGCTTCAGGCTCTCACGCTTTGCTACAAATGCTTTGTCTGCCCTGGCCGACAAAATGCTCTTGGCTTCTGATCAAAGAAAACTAAGTGGAAGCCGCTTTGTCTTGATGTTAAGAAAGCTTTTGACAGAGAGTCCCTGGAAGCCTTGCTAAGCAGAGCAAGCGTGGTGGTATGCTCTGGAAGCACACAGAAAGGAAATACACTGAACAATGCACCTATGGCGTGATTTCTCCTCCAGAAAGGGCTGTGTTTAGACCAGCTACAAAGATGCAGTCTCTACTGTTATCTGCTGTTAGGGCTGCCTGTGTGGCTCTTATTGCCCTCTCTGGTTACAGCTTACCTGTTTTAGGGCTTAGGTAGGGTTGTGTAAGGAGGACTTCAGCTCTACTCACTTGGCCAAGGTCAAGAATGAGCCTCTGAGGAATTACTTGCAGAAGTCTGGGGAGCTGCTGGCCTTCCATTTGCGGGTGGTGGCACATCTGTTCTCAGCTGTGTTCAGAACACGAGGTATTAAATCACTTTCACCCTTCAGCTGCTGAAACCATGCAAATAACAACACGTTAAAGGGTTAAACAAAGTGCGGCATAACAATTAATGGAATCTTAGCATCATAAAGGCTGGGAAAGACCTCCGAGACCATTGCGTACACCCCCACCCCCACCACACGTCCTTCACTGCCGCTTCTCCACGCGCTGATGGGCTGGCAGACTGGCCCAATCAGGGGTGCTCTGCAAGATGCACCTACAGCCATCTGGCCGGCGGAGCCGGACCTGCCGCAGCAGGGAGAGGGGGAGGGAGGGAGAGGAAAGGGGGTGAGGGCGGGCGGCGGGGCGGGGACGCCGCGAAATGGCCGCCAGCCCCCAGCCCGCCCCTGAGGCCGTCACTGCCGGCCGCCGCCCCGCCTCGCCCTCCCTCCCCGCTGCCGGTCTTCTTCCCCGGCATGCGGAGCGGCGGCGGCTGAGGCTCGGCGCCTCCGAGGCCATGTCGCCGCGGGCCGCCTTTCCCGGGGAGGTACGGCGGGCGTCCGCCTCGGCGTGCAGCCGATCCCGCCTGCGGAGCGGCAGCACGGTGCTGCTGCCCTCCATGCTGATGTTCGGCGTCATCCTGGCCTCCAGCGGTCTGCTCTTGATGATCGAGAAGGGCATCCTGGCCGAGGTGAAGCCACTCCCATTGCACCCGGCTGCCGGGGAGGTTTCCCGGCGGGTGGAGACTCATGGAGGGGATCTGGAGCATGAGGTGCTGCGGGACATCCGGAACCGCACCATCCGCTCAGTGTGCGGGCAGCGGGCCATGCCCCGCAGCATCTGGCAGCTGCCAGCCGGGCAGCGGCGGACGGTCCTCCGTCACCTCCTGGTCAGCGATAAGTACCGCTTCCTCTACTGCTACGTGCCCAAGGTGGCCTGCTCCAACTGGAAGCGCATCCTGAAGGTGCTGGATGGGGCGCTGGAGAGCGTCAACGTCAAGCTGAAGATGGACCACAAGAGCGACCTGGTGTTCCTGGGGGACATGACGCCCGATGAGATCAACTACCGCCTGAAGAACTACTACAAGTTTGTCTTTGTGAGGAACCCGGCTGAAAGGCTGCTGTCGGCCTACAGGAACAAGTTTGGGGAGATCAAGGAGTACCAGCAGAAGTATGGGGTGGAAATAGTCAGACGGTATCGAAAGAATGGGGGGAAGTCGGCAGGCGACGACGTGACCTTCTCCGAGTTTCTCCGCTACTTGCTGGACGAAGAGGTGGAGAGGATGAATGAGCACTGGATGCCCATCTACAACCTGTGCCAGCCCTGTGCCGTGCGATATGACTTCATCGGCTCCTATGAGCGGCTGAATGAGGACGCCAGTCGTGTCCTGGAGGAAGTTCAGGCTCCGTCCTTCATCCGCTTCCCAGAAAGGCAGTCATGGTACAAGCCGGTGACAGCAGAAACACTCCATTACTACCTGTGCAACACCCAGCGCAGGCTGATAAAAGAGCTGCTCCCAAAGTACATCCTGGATTTCACTCTCTTTGCCTATCCCCTTCCAAACATCACCAGCGAATTCTGCAGGCAGTGAGGTGGTTTTTTGCTTTAGGATCTGGAGTAAATTCTGCAAGGTTTAGCTAAGACAGCGGTGGAGTGTTGCTGCAGGGCAGGGGAAGTTCAGATTGGATACTAGGAGACATTTCTTCTCTGAAGGAGCCATCAGGCACTGGAACAGTCTGCCCAGGGAGGTGGTAGAGTCACAACCCCTGGAGGTGTCCAAGAAACATTTAGATGTTGTCCTAAGGGGCATGGTTTAGTGGGGAAATACTGGTGCTAGGTGTACAGTTGGACTGGATGAACTTGCTGGTTTTTTCCAACCTTGGTGATTCTATATATAATTTCATAACTTCATAATTCTAAAGCACTCTTAATATAATTTTATATATTGCCTTTTCTATTAGGATACTTTTTGTATTATTCCAGTTCAAAGATGTACATATGCCGCTGACTTGAGCACAACAGCTTTTGTAAATCTATTTTTGCTGCAAATTCTTTTTATGATGCAACACAGAAAACTTCCATAAGGAAATCAAGAGGTAGACATATTTTAAGTACTCTTCTTCCCTTTTTTGAATCTATAGTACTACATGGTGCACAGCTGCATCAATCATTATATAGTTGCTGATGCACTTAAAGCACTGTTAAATGTGGTCTTAGGTTAGACAGGAGGTGGTTTTTCAGGTAGAAGTAGAAGACTTATAAACTTGGGCTTATTTTTCTTTTCTTTTCTCACCTGTAGATGATGGTTAGATGAGGCTGGCTTTTTTGTTGCTTTTTTTTTTTTCCTAGTGACAGCAATATTAATTCTTGTTTGTTTTTTAAATCATCAAACGTTGAAATAGAACTAGCATAAAAAAAAAACCTTATTTTGCATAACCTGAGGTATGAAAATGCAGGATATTCACCCAGTGTGACGTTATCAGGTGAGACATCAAGCCATAACAGTTTGTTCTTCTCTTTCTCTTTGAAATAAAGCAATACAGGGTTCCAATAATATCAAAATCCATCATGGCACTTAAAGCAGAAAAGAATAAAGACTGACCCAAGTTGTGGCAGCTCACAGCCTCAGTCACTGCCTGTGTGCCCACACACATTGAACTGTGGAAGATCTCCGGCCATGTTTGAAACAGCAGCAATTTGGGGTTTAGTTCTCCTTTTCTGGAAGTGCACACTGTTTGTATTTAATTATGATTGTTGAGTTTTAAAAGTTTGAGAGGTACTGGGCACATTGTTTTGGGGGGCTGTGTCCTCCTTTTTAATAAAGTTTTTATATGAACGAGTCTGTTGCTTTGTGCTTTTTTTTTCAATGTTAATCTTTATTTTCATTCTCAGCATAGAAGTATGACAAATAGGCAATTCCTGCCTTGGAAGGAAACTCATCCAATCCAGAGGGTGAAAGAATTCCATGGCACAGGTAATGAGATGAAAAGCAGCAGCAGAATAGGCCTCTAATTGCTGTGGAGTTGGAAGGTGGATTACAGCAGGGACTTAGTGGAGTAATCCACCTTTTTGGGAGAAGGAAAGCTAAGAGGTTTCTGTCTTTTTTTTAAAAAAAAAGCTTGCTAAAATTGCCTGGAAGGAGGGCATGGAGACACATCCAAGTGAACTCAAAGTGGAGGGATGAAAAATCCCACCGAGGGCAATTGGCCAAAGTAAATTAATAGATTTATTCCTGGCAAAGTTACCACCGCCTCTGCTGAAGTGAATTCAGTCTGACCTTCAGGTCTGCCTAACTAGGAGTAAGTTGGTTGGACTTCAGTGTCTTTGTGAGGAGTATTTCCTATTTGTTTCGCAGCTGGGCTTTTAATTAAAAGATTATTTATCAGTAATATTAAAGGCTCAGGCTGCTTGTTTATCTGCTGCACTTTCTGTTCCCTGTATTCATATTTTTAGTCTCTTGTCTCCTTAATCTGATGTATTGCATTCAGGTGTTTTGTGGAGCCTTTATGTAATTAATTGCCTTTTTCTCTGTAAAGAAGAGCAGACAGCCTTCTCCCAGCTCCTTATACTCTCCCATGAGGAAGATTTTAATGAGGGCAAAATCTGCAGAACCTCTTTGGTTGAGCAGAGATTTGTCCCATACCTGGGAAAGTGTGGCCTCTTGCAGGCTGCTGAATGCAAGCCTGAAAAATAAGTTGGGTTTCCATTAATAATAATTCATTTTATCCATAGCCAAAAGTTTCTAGAGAAGTCTTTTTTTAATTTAAAAAAAAGATCTCAGCAGCAGTGCCATTTTTTTTTTAATCAGGCATTTCTCTGGTGTAGATTGAGTCCTGAGCAAATTCCACAAGGACCCAGAGAACAGAGAGAGGAGAAAACGCATGCAAAAGCAGCAAGAAGGGCTTCAGCTCAGCATATAATCAATGAATATTAAGATGCTATAATCACAAAATAAACAAAAGAGTTTAGCAAAGCAGACAATGATAACAAAAAGAGAATAGATAGAAAGCTTACCTGTATCCTGGGCTCACTCACAGAACTCCAGCAGAGCCAGCTCTTCAATAGGTTTAGGAGGGGTGCAGCCAGACAGCACAGGTGAAGGCAATTCACCTGTGCTCCTGTGGCTGACTCATTGCTCGCCTCAGGTGATCAATCAGAGGTTCAGGCTGTGACTCAGCAGTTCCCATTCAGCTCAGGTACACACTGAGGAGGTAATTATAAACCTAGGAGTTGTCTTTGATTGAATGCATTTTCCATTTTTTCTACTTTGTCACGTTTGCAGTCACCCAGCAGAATAAAAAGACTGAAAAGATTATGGCTTTACCTTTTGAGTTTCTCTTGTTGTTGTTGTTCTGTATTAATCCCCAACACTGTATGGAATGCCCCCCAACTTTCCCAGATCTACAATTGGATATTTTGGCACTAGAGTTTTGTCACTGCATTTCTCTCTGATTTTCCTGATTTCATATTGAACTCTGGTGATTCTTGGACCCGCTGATCCAGTCCTGTCTCTGTAAGTCTTCAAGAATTGTGGATGTGTAGCACTGAGGAAGGTGGGGATGGATTCAGGCTCTACTTGATGATCTTAGAGGTCTTTTCCAACCTTAATGGTTCTATGATTCTATTTAGGAACATAGGTTGGTGGGCATGGTGGTCTTGGGTTGACTGTTGGACTTGATGACCTTAGAGGTCTTCTCCAACCTTAACAATTCTGTGATTTCTACCAAACTTGAGAGAAGAATGGTGGAAGGAAAAAGACCCAACAGCAAGGAAGTGACACGTTGCAAAGCTTCACAAACTGCTGTAGCTTACCTGTTCCCAGTTATCATCTTTGCTATTGCTCTCTTGGGCTGGAAGTACCTGCAGGCCCTGGTCATTTCATGGAAGAATCTAAACCATGCTGCTTGAACTGAGATTGAAAGAAGAGAAATACTGGTGCTGTAATTCATCCACTTTTAATAACATAAGATAAACATATGTGAATGATACTGCTCAGCTTGAAATCACAGAGAATTCCCTTTTCATCCAGGCAAGTGTTTATGCTCTGTTAATTTGTATGATATTTTTCTGCTTTAGAAATTCACTGTAGGTCAAGACTTAAACATATAACATTGTGTGTCTACACACAATCTAAAAGAGCATCGTGTTCCCCTGCACAAAGTACTAAAGCCAGTCAGCTGCAGCCTGTCATGGTGATATTGTGTATTGGTTTGCTGGGTTATTTCTCATAGTTAAGAACACTCAACATTGACTTTCTGCTGTAAGTGATCCTTCTGTGAAACAAGACTCATGTATCCTGTTGCTTTATGGAAGAAGACCTCAGTGTCTGAATTGATGGGAGAAGGAAGGGCCCTGCTTTCCAGTGCTTCACCAGCTGAGAGCTATAGGAAGTCCATCCCTGCTCCATATTGCTTAAATGATTACTGTGTGTCCCTGAGCCAACTTTCTGAATTTGTGAATTTGTGTGCCAACTTTCCACGTTGCACTAGGACTGCAGCAAGAAGGAAGAAGTAAGCTGCCTGGTTTTAGCATTCAGAGCTGCTGCTTTGACTTCCCCCTTGGAGAAGGGCAATCACAATCCCCCATTGTTTCAAAGTCTCGTTTCACATAATGTCTTGCTGATTCCAGCGCTAGGAGGTCTGGAAAGCCTCATTTCAGCATAGTTTAAGCTGTTTGCTAAAGCTCGAGGATTTCATATCAGGCAGAAGAAATGGCTTTGGCCCCAGTGACCTGGCGAAGATGCAACAGCACTGCAGAGCCAGCACTGGTGACAGGCAGCACTTGCTGAGCCAACAATTGGCAGCTGCAGCCTGGGCACTTCATATTTCTAACCAACTGCATTGAAGCCGGCCACTTGCAAAAGAGAAGAGTTTTATGTGTATTCCCTCTGGTCGCTGCAGCTGAGCGCCAGTGCTACATCAGATTTTTTCCTCTTTCCTGTTGGCTTTTATTCCTGTTGCTTTTGCAGAAATAAATAACTTCCTTGACAGGCTCTGGTGGTGAAATAAGTGCACGCACACTGCCAGTCTCCTTGCTGGCTACTAGCCATACCCCTGTGTCTAATAGGAATAAAGCTGTGGATGATTGTTTCAGCGTCTGTACAAGGCAGAAAAACAGATTTACTTCTCCTCTTTGTTTTCATTCATTTATTATTATTTGTTGTTGTAATAATATTAATATTGAGTCTGAGGTATATTCTAGCCTTGTAATAATTCTTAATCCTTAGGGTTTATCAGCCTATTAGTTGTGCATCTTATTTCTGGGAACCCAAATTCTATTGAAAAAGCTCCTTATAATCAGATATTCCCATGATACAGAGGCTCACACCTATGATCTCATGGACTTTTGGAGGGGCTTATTCAGTTGCATGTATTTTGGTAGCAGGGATAGAAGCTCAAGTCAAACTTGGATGGTATCATCCTTTGGGAGAAGAAATACCCGTCTTCTAGTAGGAAGCAGGGAAAAACTGCTTCAGGTGAGGCCTTGGGGGCAAAAATTCGGGATGAGGCCATTGGGATCCTCTAGGCTGAGATTTGCAGGGGGCTTACAGTATTCCCATTAGTGAATGAACCAGGTGTGAACTGGTGTCCTCATATCCCATCAAAGAGCTAGGGAAGGCAAGACAGCTAATTCGCAGAAAATATCTATAATTTATCAATAATGACAGCTCATGCTAGGCAGAAGCAATGAGCCTCATACCCTCAGGCTATGTTTTTCATTTCGCCAAGTGC